GTACAACTTTTCCATCCTAATTCCTTGACCTATGTTATGGTACAATGGTTAGCATGATTACATTTCATCAGGGAGGTTGTTGGTTTGATTCCTGGAGCAGACAGTTCACTCAGTGGTATATCTCAGATTGCAGTCTGCCCAGCTTTTCAAACATGCAGTTTTTGGTTTGGGAGACTGGTTCACTTATGAACTTAAATTAACACTTAAAAAAAGTTCAATGTCCAGAAATGTCGCCTGGAACAATAAATATTTAAAGAAAACAATATTTTCTGACATCACAAAAGCACAAACTTGACTACCATTCATCAACTTGTCCTCTGTCAGGGGTGATATTTTACAGGTCGTTTTGAGGTTTTATTCATAATATAGTATTTTGACTTATCGGAAGATATGAAAAAGTAGCCATGGGAATATTGCTAAATAACAAAAAAATTAGGTTCGCTCTTGACTTCATCAGATGTGTTGTGGCAGATCCTTTCTTGGCAGTTATACGAAAAATGTGTGAAATTTGCACAAAGTTTTCCTGAAAAAAATATGGTGTTTACTCTAAAGGGCAAGAGGGAGCTCACCTAATTGTCTGTTCATATCCTAAATGACAGGCCCTACTTATCCAACATCTGTGAATTAAATATTACCAACTTTTTGCTATTAAAACACCAATCTGCTGAATATTTTAGAGAAAAAAGTAATAATTAAGGGAAATGTTAAATGAAGAAATTTGGTTGGTTACCATAGTGACACAGATAAGTTTGCATCAAACAATGATTTGTCTCTTATATCAGGTTGTGAAGTCGTAAGATAAGTGGATTGTGGACATAAACCAGAATAAGGGGGCGTGTCATTTTATAACCAGTTTAAACCAGAATAAGGGGGCGTGTAATTTTATAACCAGTTTAAGGCATGTCAACTATTTCATCATCAGTAAAGATTGCTTAAAAGTAAGTTTAATCTATTCCAAATAATAATAGCTATTGAACGAATCCAGATGAATATACAGGTTTCAATCCTGTGATCTGATTGGTGGATAAGAACTGATTTAGGAATCAGTAATATACATTTGGAATTTATTTCATTATGAAAATAAGGGATACTGTAAAATGACTAATTTTCACTGGGTTTAAATTTCACTGATTTTCCATTTCAGGCATATTCAGTGGGTTTTAAATTCACGGTTTTATCATTTAGATAATGTGTTCTATGCACAATTTTGCATATTCACTGGGTTTTAATTTAGCGCATTTTTCCAGTCAGCGAAATAAGCCAAATTAAAACCCAGTGAATAATTAACCCCTTTACAGTATATTGTGTCTAATGTTACTCAGTACTAACACAATAGA